TTCTGATTTCACATATAAAACCTCTTTTTTGTTCAAAGATATTAAGGACAGAAATGTCTTTTATCCTTAAAACTAATGGTATTGATTAGCCTAGTATTGATGGAACATTGATAGTTTGGTGGTTGATTTATAACTAAAACTTGGTTTGGTGATATCCTAAGGAATTTCTCTTTATTAATTTACATTATTAAATATTTGAAAACAAAAGAAAAAGAAAACGTTTAAATTACAGTACATATTTCTACTGCCTCAGAATAATGAAAGTAAAAAAATTGATAACGAACAAGTTTATCTGGACCATATTCAAACATATTGTTATAAATAGTCAATTTTTTTTTTGTCACGAACATACTTCTGAAGCTAGCTCAGTAAATACATGCGATGTATCCACCAACCATACTAGGGTAGAAGTGCCAATGAAAGAAAAACAATTTTGCGTTCTCTTGCATTCCGTGCGAGTAGGTCTGCTCGCAGATTCTTGTCCCTAGGCTGATATGCCATTTGGAACTCTGGAAACTAGTTTCGTAATTGAGTGAATTCATGCAGTTTCATTTGAAACTTTGGCCAGTCTTCAGACGTCGCAATCATCGTCGTAAGCTCTTTCGAATATGTCACAAACAAATTACAGAAACGACGTTGTCGCTTCAGACTCTTCATCGCCCACAAGAGGCTCGAAAGCTCCATGTGTAGAGGAAAAATCGTCTGCTTTTCTGCGTGTAGGCCTATGAGAGCATAATCAATTGTAGTTGTTAAGTGGTTTTTTTAATGAATTTCTAAAAAATTAAAAATAATTAAATAATACAAAAAATATTTAAGAACCCCAATAAAAGATTCTAATTTAAAAGATTTAGAATTTCAAAATGTGGAGTTCTAATTAACATAATACAATTTATAATAAAAAAAATTACTTAACACTCCAACTTAATTATCTAAGATCCGTAGAACCATCCTGCAACTCAACCACCCTCGTGGTAAGAAAATAGTAAAAAATTAAATGTTCTTCGTGGTAGGTGAACAGCTTTTAATTTCACAAAACATTCAAATAACCGACAAAATTTGTATTTTCCATTATTTTTATATTCATTTTAATTCAATCGTTTGCTCTCATGAACTCCATCTTGTCAAGCGTTCTTCCTGCTCCCGAAGATCCCATTCTCAGTGTACCAAATCGTTTTCAATTTCTTACTTATGTTGATTCTGATCCATTTCACCATTATATATATTTATTACGAGTTATG